AGGGCGAAACATAAGGCAAGTTTCCTCACTTTGCCCTCATCTCTTTACCTAAGTGTAAGTAGGAACCTGATTCTCAGTTGGATCGCTTATTCACGGGTAATAATCCATCAAACAAATGGTCACTCAATCCACGACTGTTTGTGGGACACTCCTGCGCGCAATTGGCTGCCGTGTTTCACCAACAAAATACACGGCCCCTACACTTTACAGTATATCCTGCGAAGCGCTTTGAGATGTCTCGCAAAATTAGGGGCTGTATCAAATGCAAGGATTATTATTATTATTATTATTTACACTCTGGAAATCCCTTTGTCTTGCGACACCTCTCCCCCTCCACCATTTTCAAGCTACTCTTGAAAACCTATGCACATAAACCTCTGCAATTCCCTCCGGATCATAGAGTAAGGCAATAAAATAAGCCATTCACGTCATTGTTGCGTGCAAATTGGCTGCCGGGTTTCATCCACAAAACGCAGTCACTTTGCAGTATATATCCTGTGAAGCACTTTAGGATTTCCTACCGACTTGAAAGACTGTATAAAGTTCAAGGATTGTTGTTGTGGTTATTTTTGTGTGGTCTTGTGAAGACCATGTTGCTGCAGACTAGATCGTCAATATCCAGTCATCGTCAGGAACTTCCTTCTGAAACAGGAAGCCAAAAAGAGAAGTGGGGAGCTTTGTTTCTCTGTGACAATCACCCCAACTGGTTTCTAGGTCGTCAAAGTTTTCGATTTCACCGAAATGACGCGGAGAAGGCTTCCAGCAAGCTCGAGGGCCTTCAAACAGGCAACTCTACAGCTTTCTGTGACACCCCGGCCGGCTCAGTCAACACATGTTTCTTCCTAGAGTTCAACCCCACGGAGACTTCGCTGTGGAGTTTTTAAAGATATATATATATATAAAAAATATATTGAAAATACAGTTTTATTCAGGATATTTGGAGTTGCAGAGAACAGGGAGTATAATATTGGTATCAGAGGGACGCTGGTAGTTCAAGGGTAAGGGAAGCAAATTGAATTGCCAGGGTTTTGGATGGTGATTTGGATGGTAAGCCAAGCAGTCACTGCTGATCTCACCGGCCCCCGCACTCTCCCCAGGCCACTCTCTGTGTACCAACGCACACATCTCCCTCCTGCTGCTGCTGCACTGCGCCCAGCGCCAGACAGTCGCTCCTCGGGACATGTGATGAGATTGGACAGCGTTCACTGATGTGCAAACTCCAAACCTTTTACATGAGAAGTCAGTACTTCCCACACCACTTGCACTGTTGGAAAAGAGAAGGGGATTTCTCCCACATTGTCCTTGGACCACAATTCCCCATTGACCCCCCACACCCCCCATGTTGGGAGTCCCAAAGCCTAGTGGTTAGCGCTCGCCTCACAAGCGAGAGAACCCGGGTTCAACTCCCAGGCAGGTGAAACCTTAGCCGAGTTTCCTTACTCTTTACCCAGCAATAAGTAGGGACCCGGTTACTGCGAGTTGATTGTCTGCCGCCCTCTGTAGATACAAACACTCTGTAGAGTCACTTTATCAGTTGGATATCCATCCTACAGTCATTCAATATCACGCCATCGCAATGCTCAACCGCCACACCGCTCCCCCCCGGCAAATCACAACAGATCTCGTTATTAACAATACTCCTTGGCCTTTACGCAGCGCCTTTCGCATCAGGAGGACATGCAGTGGTTTCGCAGGATTCACTGTAAAGTATAGCGACTGCAATAATCCTTTGGGTTGTCCAGCGCAGGTGAGTGAACGGAACGGCTAGAAGGGGAGCGAGGTTTAATGTCTCACCTGAAGGACGGCACCTCCTACAATGCAACAAGTGCTGCATTGGAGCGTCAGCTGAAGGCTACGTGAGTTCAAGTCCCGACGTGGGATTTGAACCTACGACCGTCTGATACACAGCGGTGCCCTTCACGTCAGGAGGAGCGCTGGTTAATACTGAGAGAGGAAATACGACCAAAAGCACAAAATCGCCCACGTTGCTTAAAAAATTACTGCGCGAGTCAGGAAGGTCAATGGTGGTGGGGGGGGGGGCGGAAAAAGGCAAATGATCAAAATAAAAGTTTGTCAAGATCTTTTTATTGGTCCAGCAATTGCAAATTATACATCTTCTGAAAAGGTTTACCCTGTATGTGTCTGCCGGCATATTTAAGCAAGTTTCCTTAGGAAAAGGCCAATTGCATACATACACAGTTGATGCAACATGCTACTACTGTGTGACCTGCAGAAAATTTCCCCTGTAACTTCCCTCCCTCCCCCCCCAACCCCCCAAACACACATCCCCATCCTCCGATCGCTGAAACCTCACGTTCAGGACAGAAAAAAAAAATAACACTATAAAATACAAGAGAAAAACAAAAATCTCAGTTAACATTCACAATAAGACTACTGTCAGACACTATTGGCCTAGTTGGGAGATTTCTCTGTATCTCCCCCCCACCCTCGCTTCCTCCCTTCACCTCCCCCCACCCCACCCCCACTTTGAGCTCTCTGTAAAAGCTCCATTCTTAAAATTTGTTACCATTCTCAACGAGAATACTTTTATATAAAAAAAACGCTCAAGAAATGTCTTCGTGAATTCCATTCGACCCTTATTTATAAGAGGCGTTCAGCTGTACTGATTAAAAAAAAATAGTTGAACCCACCCCCTCCCTTCCTCCCCAAACACTCTCCCTCCTTCCACACACCCACCCCCCTCCCCGACCAACCATCCATCCCTTCCCGTCTCACACGCTGCCACTTTTCAAATAAAATAAATAAAAGACTTGTGCAACATTGCATACATCTAGGTACGAAACAAATGCGTGGAGAGCAAGATTTTTTATTTTCTCTGACACCATTGCAGCCAAGTTTAGAAGAGCTCGGATCACAAGGGGGCCAAGGTTTCTCCGTTCGCGCTGGACGAAACCCCCTTCTTTCCCCACCCCACGCGCCCCGCTCTCTCTCTCTCTCTACGCAAAATAGTTTTTGAATCGCTGTGCAAGACAAACTCACTAGGCACTGTGTGGCTATTCCCATCTGACAAAAGGTATCTTAACGAAACTGACTTAACTTACTCAACAAGACTTTAGAACCAGCTAGAGTTTCGGTTCGCTCTCCTCCTCCCACTCTCGCCTCCATCCATCCATCCCTCCCTCCCCAACCCACCCCCCAACCCCCCCACCCGACAGATAGACGCACATTCATTGCACGCAAACGCAAAGTCCTTTGGTAACTGAATCCTTAGCTATCCTGTCTCTGCACAGTCCGTTCGCAGGGCTAATGGCTCAAAGCTTGCACACCCAAGACGGAAGATCTGAGATCAACTGCACACGCATTTTGGGCAACCCATCGCCCGTCACGAATCGCCGCCGTGAGAAACCGACGACGTTGCAGTCCCCGGGCCACAAAGTTCCGCCTGGTCCTAACCTGAGTGACCCACATTGGTGCGTGTGTGTGTTTTTTTAAAGACTTTTATTTGAGGGTGAAGAGAAATTGCTTTTGGAGAAGAGCCAATTCTTCCCAATTGCGACTGGATGGAAGATGTGATGTTTCCAATTGCGGTGGAGAAAGCACCTCTCAAAGCGCATTCGGGGAATTTTTTTATATATATATACACACACACTCTGACACAAATTAAGAAAGCGACCAGAGAGTTTTTGGAAAGCGATTGCAACAGATGGGGCAATTTTCCGAGATGTTGAAATTATCATTTACATTTTAAAAGCACCAACGTGGTCTCCGGGCTAAGAGCAGGTGGAATTTGGGGGCATGAATGGATACAGTATATTTAAAAAAAAAAGTCAATCAGTGATACAACACCCCCCCCTCCCCAACCAATTCTTTTTTTCAGTCTAAGATGTCCAGATAAAGTCAGCACCAAATTCAAGTGGATTCCGTGTTGTGAAGATAAATCAGCAATGAACGATTTATTGCTGATGTTTATATCCCACTTGTAGTCGTTGAATCTCCATCCCCTCCCTCTCCCCCCCCCTCCCAACCGCCTTCTTGGTTCAGAAAGTTTCTTCCCCAACAAGAAAGAAAGAAAGTCTCTCTTGCGGTTGGAACCCACGGTTTCCCCCGGTTTGGCCAGTAGCTCAGTCCCACTGCAAGTAGTCAAGAGATTAAGACTCAACATCAGTCTCTCTACTCAATGGCCCCCAGCCTTCCCCTGAGCGCTTGATGATTGACAAAATAGGAGGACCCAGAAGTATCTAGGTATGTACCAGGTAGAAGGAAGGAGAGGAGGGATGGAGGAGTGGGGGGGGGGGCGGTAAGAGAAAAAGAAAAAAAAATACACAAACAAACACAAAACAAATAAATAAACCTGGTCAACTGGTAATCCTAGTCTTTATCTATCGTCTTCCAACCGCTCCGCCCGTCCGCCCCCATAAATAGTTATGCCTCATTTTTAGTTCAATATTTATCTGCGAGGCTCCACTTTTTCCTTCTGCGAACGTTAGGAAACCAAAGCAACAAGAACAACAAGTATATCGGAAAAGCATTCAGAGTACTCGGGTAGTGTAAATGTCAGGAACAGATTCAATCCCTTACTTATTAAGACCGATTTTTTTTTTCAGGAATACCTCGGCCACAGAAATATTTCTCGAGCTTAAATTGTGCTATTATTTACAGTTATGATACAGACATGCGCGAGAGTGCAAAAAGCAACACTCCACCATCACACTCTTCCAACGAGATTTACAAGATATGTACACACTATTAAGAACGCATCGTGTCGAGGACGCACCATTCGCACGTTATTACAGCAACAAGAGATGCCCCGTTCACATTATAAGTCAATATCACTGACGAGCTTCCCTCTCCGGTCATCTTCAGTGGAGCCAGTCCAGGGACACGGGTGAACTCGGTAATCACGTATAGATATACATACATACGCGCACGCAATACAAGCGCACGAAACAAAAAAAAAAATACAGGCGTGGATCGAGGAAAAAAAAAAACTCCAAACAGAAACGGATTGGAGCTTCAAGGAGAGGGGCGGTGGGGGGGGGGGGAAAATTACAAGCGGGACTCGGGGTAGGGGGTGGGAACGAAACAAAGCTTTTCATTTCTGCATTGAAATCATCATCACAGCTTCGGTCTTTCTAGGGACTTCGCTCAGGATCTGTGCGAGAGAAGGAGATCGAGAAGCGGTTACACACACACACACACACACACATATAAAACGTACTGCCTCGAAGGGGTGGGGGGGGGGAAGACAGAGGGGGCGAGGGGTGCAGAGGAGGTGGAGGGGAGAGAAGGGGGTGGAAGGAGGAGGGAAGAGGCAAAAAACAGAGAGGGAAAGGGGGTAAGGAGGTAAAAGAGGGAGGGGGTAAGAAGGAGGGAAGGGGTGGGGGGGGTTGCGGAAATAAGAGGTAAGATCAAAAGCACTGAATACTTCATGCACAGAAAACTAAGCAGCGTGTTAATAGAACTTATTCTAACGCACAAGCAACCGGCAAAGCCGTGACACTGTCAACACATGTGGAGGGACAGATGTACACCCAATTGGAAAGACGCCGGGAAAGAATCCTCTCTGCTGGTGACAAAAGGCCTGCAGTGGGGCGGCGGGGGGAATTATATGACTATATAGTGCCCGCACTTAGAGGGAAACTTATCCCTGCACAGTTGGATCCATTAGGGAGGAATCTATCGGATTTGCAGGCTTCAATCTGACCAGCAATGTATCTGAAATGGATCCAATTTGGCCATAGAATGGCGGAACAGGCTCGAGGGGGTGGGGGGGGGGCTGAATGGCCTCCTCCTGTTCCTACGTTTGAAACCCGCGCCAGTTTTTCCCCCCAATCGAAGAAGAAAATAAAAAGAGATGAGACGGTCGAGTTTTCAACACCTTCAAACCCCCACCCACCACCCGCCAAATAAAAACAACCCTCACAAAATGTTAACAGAGTCACTTAACACAGTGAACACGGCTAGCATGCTCGTAGCCAATTACCTTCGAAGTATTAGTAACGAGATAACTGTGAGATAATGAAATACTGTTCGCCTGAGAATGCAAAAATGTGAGGGAGGGAGGAAGGAAGGAAGAGAATGTCTTTTAAAAAAAATGTCTAACCGACTCACACGCACGATGAGATTTCAGCTCAGCACACGTACATTGGCAGCACTTGCATTGCAGGGGGGGGGGGTTGGGGGAGTGGGGGCGGTGGATGGGTGGGTTGCGTGGGGGAGAGACAGTCAAGTCAAACGTTCAGCGCATGCAACCATAGAAGCGTGGCTCCACCAATGGAGAAATCGAGCGTTAAGACGGCGCGCGAGGACAGGGACCCCGACTGGACCCCTTAAGACCCCTTCTCTTTGACCGTGCCTTCAGCTCCCCTCCTCCTCCTCGCTCCCTCCCTTCCCTCCCCTCACCCTGACCATTTCCCCCCTCCTCTCTCCCTCCCTTCCCTCCCCTCACCCTGACCATTTCCCCCCTGCTCGGGTCATGACCCAACTGTGCAGCGCCTTGGGACGTCCTCCTGACGTGAAAGGCGCTCTATAAATGGAATCTTGTTGTTGTTGTTGTTAAGAGCGCCTATCGTCAACCGGAATGGAGATTCGGGCACGCTTCTAGAACTTCCAGCACCCGCCCCGATCAGAGCGGGACATCTGAACCGGGTTCTGGACCATCCCAACGCAACACCAGACAATTATGGACTCGGTTCTCGATTGCCCATCATCAATTAGACAGAGCTGGAACCGGTTACACCCCCCCCCCCCCCCCCATACACCCCTCCAAAAGGATTTCCAGCACTGATTGAGGTTTGAACACCCTGATCTCCTCCTCTCTTCCCCACACCCATCTCCCCTCGAATGGACTGCAGCTTTCTGGGAACAAAACCATAGGCAAGAACTCGAGACTTGAATCTAGCGATTACTGTGATGACTCGTACAAAGAGATCTTTCTAAAGAGTTTTGGCCATTCAGGTATCTTTATCTACCCCCCTCTCCCCCCATCACACTATCTCTACCCTCCCCACCCACCGTAAGAGGTTGTAGACTTGGTTTGACAACTGCATCCAATTCCTGCCTGTAGCTAGACTCAAGAGTCAGGAGTTAAGGTAGAAGGACAAGACACATTGGGGGGGGGGGGGGGCAGGTAAAAAGCACATCGACCATGCTCAACTTTAGCTCTTGGAGATGTTGGGAGGAAGAGATTCCTGTGCAGGTTTTTTGGTTGTTGCAAAACCACCCTCGAGTCAGCAACAAAAGGGTTAAGAAGCCACGCGATCTGATTGCATAACGTTACAAAAACCCATTCATTACGCTCACAATGGACAGAGCTATATATATAATATATATATATATATATATAAAAAAAGGGTCACAGTCAACAGAAAGTGATACCCGGGAGGATTGGCTTTGGAAGCTAATTAGATCGAGCAAGTCAGGTTACACTGGTCAACAAGGTCAAACCACAGTCCTTGCACATTAAGCTACCGTTGCTGTGACTTACACTGCGGACAAAAAGATACACTGCAAAGTCAGAGAGATACTTACAGGCAAGCCTTTCCCATGAAAGACTAGAGAGAGAGAGAGAGAGGGCGGGTGGAAAGGAAGAAAGAAAAAAAAACTGAGAAGGGCGAAGGAAATCAAGTCAAGCTTGAAACACCACACCTGGAGACAGGCGAGCTTCCCAAACATCGCATCCATCTCAGAAGCTTTCATGCTGAAAACTGCCATTAATCAACGTTCCCCCCACAAAATACAGTCAAATTGACTTTACAGTATATTCTGCGAAGCACTTCGAGGCGTCTCGAAGACGTGATAAGGCGCTGCAGCAAATGTCATTTGTTGTTGTGCTTAAAAGTCTCCAAACCAAACCTACCGAGTCTTCAGAAACCCACTGATGGCAGTCATGGAATCACAGCAATTTTACAGCACGGAAGGAGGCCATTCGGCCCATCGAGTCTTTCAGGCCAAGGTGTTCGTTCAATCCCAATGATTCTAGGACTATGACCAATAGGTTTCCAAAGACTGTCACATTTCTCTCAAAGCCTTAATAGAATGCATCGATCCCTTTCCCCTTCACGGGGGAGGCAATGTTTTTTTGAACGCGACAAGCGCAAGCTCCTAAACACAGTCGAAACAAAACGCGGAGCAAAGTACCAGACGGCCATTTTGAACCAAAGTTCCCATCGGCCATTCTTTAAAATCCAATCCAATTAGAAAGAGAGAGACAGAGAGAGAAAAATATACCACGGCAAATGGATTGCGAAGCCAAGAGCGTAAATCATCCCCTTTTTTTTTATTTGATTGCGTGCGCAAAAATGAAATTAAAAAAATTTGAGGAAAGAAACGTAAGCGGCCGTGCCGGGAATCTGCAGATAAGCGGTGGTGGTTTTGGGGGGGGGGGGGAGGGTGTGGGGAGGGTGTGGGAAGGGGAATGGGGTGGGGTGGGGGGGTAAAAGGAAGGGAAATCAAAAGAGCGCCAGCTGAAGCTTTTGTTTAAAAACAAATAGAGAATATTCAACTAACTTGTCCAGGAATAGGTGTGGACACCTCTGAGACCAAGCACCCCGGCAAAGCTGAGGACGTTGAGGCCAAATGGTCCTCTAGGTCTTCGATCCTCGGCTTTTTGTTGGGTTCCGGGCTCGCCAGAGGGGTGAAGCTATTGCGCCTCATGAGTGGATTTAGTGCCTTCTTAACAAGGTCCTGGTCAAAAGGCGAGACAGGGGAAAAAGAAATGTAAATATGAGAGGGGAGGGTGAGGGTTGGTGGTGGTGGTGGGGGGGGGGGGGGAGGTGGGGGAGTGGGGGAGAGAAGGAGAGAAACGAGAGGAGGAAATAAAACCGAAACCACTACGGGAGTGTTTTTTTAATATATATTTGTATGTATTTTAATATACGTACATATTAAAAATATAGTAATATACGTATATATTTAAAAAAAACGAAGAAAACTCCACAAACGTTAGACACGCAAACGCACACGCACAAACACGGCACAAGATACACCCTAAACAAGTTGACCCCTTTCCTGTTTCCGGCACAGACCGCGCAATAAGGGGAACGAATTTAAAACGGGTTTAGGTTTGAATGCTCCCCCCGCCCCTCTCTCTCCCCCCGGATGAGACGTTAAACCCAGGTCTTGTCTGTGCTGTGTCCGGGTAAACTTTAAAAGATTCTGCGTAACTTGGGGGGGGGGGGAGAGAATTATAAGGAGGGAATTTCTCCCAATGTCCTGACCAACAATCTCTGAGATAAAATTGGCTACTGCGTCCACCTACAAACAAACAGTCACTACTCTTCACAGTGAAGCGCTTTGAGACTCTTCCCCCCACCCCCCCCCACCACCCGCCCGCCCGCCCACCCGACATGAAAGGCGCAGTTTTCAATGCGAGGATTTTTTTTTAAATTCCCTCTCTTGTTTTTTCTCTCGAAAACAGACCGCGTCTCCGTAGCAGTCTCTGGAGTCGATGGTTTCAGTCCATCGAATTGGGTTCCGACAAACGTGGGCGGATTCCGCCACTCGACGTGAAACAGCGGCGTTTGAGCACAGCTCTCAGTTCAGGGCATCAACGCAGGGAAACCATCGCTGGATTTCTTTTAAAAATTAATTGTAAAAAGATACCAAAAAAAAAATTGATGGGACTGCTGCCTAAACATTCCCCTAAAAATACATACCGACACCGGTTCCTCGCAATATAAAAACACACGGCACAAGAGCACAACTTCCCCGCTGCCCCCACCCATTCCCCACGTCACCACCCTACGACCCGTTGGTAAAGGCCACCAACACGGAGGGAATGAGATGACAGGCTGGGCCCACACCTTGGTGAAGTGGAACCGGTCAACACAGAATTATAGTCCAGGAAATGGGCTCCTTACTCAACTTGCCATCTCTTTCCCCACTCTCTCTCTCCCTCCCCATCCACGCTCTCTCTTCCGATGCACTGTCTCTCTCTCTCCTCTCTCTCCTCTCCCCCACCCTCCACCGAGCACATTAAAACAAAAAACATATACACACACACACATTGGGAATGAGAATGAAACTCACCCCCCCCCCACCTCCCACCACCTTCCATGGTACAAGCAGAAGACGTGCAAAAGTCTCGAGATTTTTTTTTGATAAAAAAAAACACACGACCGAAAAGAATCCTTGAAGTTAACGTTAGTGTTCTCCCGAAAGCCGCTCACGGCAATGCCTCTTACGAGCCGATTCTCGCTTTACTAACCAACCGAAGGGCTTTGAAGGGTTTGCCCATTGGCAAGTCTCCACTCGCGTCCTACCCTATTCGCAAAACCTGGCCGGATAGGCGACAGCTTCCGAGACAGACAGAGGAGGAGGGTGGGTGGGGGGGGGGGGGAGATGGTGGGGGTGGGTTTAAGTCTTTCAGAGGAGGAGCGCGTGATGTGCGACATCGGTAAGAACGTCACTGACCTCTGGTCTGTCCCGGTGGGTGTTTACTGCCTCCACATTCAAAAAGATGGATTCCACCTTGCACCCTGATAAGGGAGGGAATTCAGACGTCAGTTTTATTGAAACAAAATACGGTTCTCCCCCACCAAAAAAAATCTCTCTCTCTCGCGCTCACACGCAAGGCATCGCGCACGCACCCGCCGCCGTATATTAACTCACCGTAAGCAAAAGGAGTCAGCTTTAGTACAGTATGGAGGGGACACTTCAGGTAAGGCAGCTCATCTGAAACGGAGAGGGAGGCATCGTATCAGTTTGTACACAACGTCCCACAAACAACCACGGAGCCAACGACCAAGTTTATCTCGACTCAAACAGAGAGAAAAAGTGTCTTCTCTCTCTCTCTCCCCCCCAACCCCTCCCGCAGTGCCCTGGCCAACATGGGGGGGCTTGAACCCACAACCTTCTGACTCAGAGGAGAGAGAGAGAGAGCGAGAGAGCGAGAGAGAGAGAGAGAGAGAGCGCTAACACTGGTCAAGCTGATACCCAGGACACATGTATTATAACAGGATTAGGTCGGTTCCACTCACACACCTGCGCTCTTGTCGAGGAAATACGCTAAGAGACACCGCATGACTGCCTGGTGACAAACGACAAGCACATTGCCCTGTCTCTCCAACTCCATGATCACAGGTTCCAAACGCTGCACTAGGTCTTGATAGGACTGTGTGTGAGAGAGAGAGAGAGAGAGAGAGAGAGAGAGAAAAAAAAAAGAGTAAATAATGGAAGCCAATAATAATAATAACTTGCATTTGACATAGCGCCTTCCCGCATCTCAAAGCGCTTCACAGAATATATTGCCAAATGGATTGAGTGTATTTTGTGGGCGAAAATTAGCCCCCGGAAAGGGATCCGCCAATCGACTTAACAACCAGGGTTCCTACACACTGCTCAGGAAAACAGAAGGTTGTGGGGAAAGGAAGGTTGTGTCTAAGGTTTCGCCCCGTCTGGGAATCGAACCTGGGTCCTCTCTCTCTCTCTCTCTCTTGCGAGGAGAGTGCTCGTACCACGAAACTACAGCACTCCACTAAAGCTAAGCCACGGTGTAGGGCCAGACTCGACTCTTTCCAAGCGAGAACGCCAAAGAGTCATCTTGACGAGTGACGTGTCAGGCGAGAGCTGTGCTATTATCCGCTCGGATCGAGGGTTCGAGAGAAGCCACCGCCGGACAGGCCAAAGCCCAATCTCACAGACGTCCGTCCTGTCGTCTGAACCTTCAGTTCTCAAAACGAGGATTACTGATCAGTTTTGCAGTCCCCCCCCCAGCACCGCCAACGACCTCTCCCTCTCCTCCAGAACTAAACTGCCTGTATTCCTTTGGCAACTGGCGTAGGTGGGATGCGTGGAATTCCCAGTCGGGTTTGGGTACTTCTTAAGCAACGGTGATGGGTTTCCGGACGTGTCAGACACCCGGCTGACCCCAGAGCAAGTAGAAATCTTATGCACGAGGGATGCCAGCATCTGAAAACCTACCTCTCCCGTGGGATAGCGGTAATAGTATTTGTCTTGGTCGCGCAATGCATATTCTTCGGGATATTTTTGGTTAATTTCTTCGTACGTCATGTCCTCACACACGCCCTGTGGGAAGCAAAGGAGGCCTCAGTTACGTTTGACCGACTGGGATCATTCCCTCAAACACCTCCACAACAATGTGGTGACTTTATAACCCGGAAGTCCATCATTTCGGCAGTCAATCATCATAACAATCCTTGCATTTGATATAGCGCCTCATCTCGTCTTCGAGCCTTCTCAAAGCGCTTCCCAGGATATATTGTAAAGTGATTTGACTGTATGTTTTTTGGGCAAAACGCCGCGGGGGCCAATCGCGCACAGCAGCGTCCCACAAACAGCCATGTATTGAAGCGAACCAAATTATTATAATAATTTTTGGGTGGGATTATCACCCCCTGTAATATGATCCGCCAACAGATTAGTATTATTTGCTGTTTAATTAAATATATAATAATAATAATAATCCTCGCATTTGATATAGCGGTTTTCACGTCGGGAGGACGTCCCAAAGCGCTTCACAGAACACACTGTAAAGTGAATTGACTGTATATTTGTGGGCGAACGCGGCAGCCAATTGCGCACAGCAATGTCCAACAAACAGTCGTAGATTGAAAATGACCAATTTATTATTGTTTTTGTTTTTGGAGGGATTATTATTAGGCTCTGTGTGGAGTAAGGAAACTTGCCCAAGGTTTCGCCCTCTGCCTGGAATTGAACTCAGGTCCCTCGCTTGCAAAGCGAGTGCTCTAACCACTAACATATAGTTAAGTAAAGCCGTCAACAAAGACTTCTGATATTTACATTTATATTAAATAAAAAGGTCAAATTAAAAAAAAAAAATCGATAAACTCAAACACAAAATCGCGACCGGCAAAAAATATACGTAACTTACGGCATCGATTTCGTTAAGTGACTTCCACTGTTCGTAGGTCCCGCCCAGCACCTCTGCTGTCTGGATGGTTCGTTTCAATTGACTGGTCCAAACCTTCAAGTCTTTGAGGTTCTGTTCCTCCAGAAAGGTGCCCAATGCTGTGGCAAACTGAAAAAACAAAGCCCCCGCCATCAGCACCCAAACAGCCAGAGCCGAGGACGACTTCAGGATCGATTCAAAACAATGGTCAGGTTTAGCTTTCGAAAGGGAACGTCAAACCCTATTGCAAATAGCATTTCTGGATGCAGTACGTGAGTAATTGGAGATATAATACATTAATAATCCACATTTTAAATTTTATTTATTTCATTTTTCAAGGGATTATGACTCCCGGAAAAGCGATCCGCCAATCCACTAGCAAAATCACTGCGAGGTTAACCCGAGGCGCGTGGAGTAAGGAAACCTTGCCCAAGGTTTCACCCCTGGCCGGGAATCGAACCCGGGTCCTCTCGCTTGTGAGGCGAGCAAATTAACCACTGCGCTACGGGGAATCCTTAGTACCTTCTTCCCTCTGGGAGAAAGCCCAGAATCCCCACCGATCCGCCCTTTGAGGTTGTAGTCGCTCTCTCCGTGGCGACACAGGTAGATGGTGCGAGCGTGGACATGGATGTTCATCAGGTAGTAAACAATTCTGCTCTGGATGTGATCCTGGACCCGGTTCACCAGGAACCTCCGCCCCACGTTAATTACCTTGATGAACGAAAGGTCTCTATGACAAGTGGACGGGGAGAGAGAAAACAGGTGGGGGGAGAAAAGGAAAGGGTTAGGAAGGTGACAGAGGTCTGAATCATAAGATCCTACAGCACAGAAGGAGCCCAAAAAGTATCCTCAGGTTGTGAAGCTCCTGCACTCACTTGTCATAGTTGTCCGGGTCCAAGGGTTGGTACGTGGCTTTGTAACACTCGATCCTCTTCAGAAAGTCTTCCATGGCATCAGTCTGGTTGCAGTCCGAGTAATCTGGACTGGACAGCTTCACGTCCTGTGCACAGACCAGTGTCAGTGATCTGGACTCCCAAGCATTGTACAACAACAACTTGCACTTACATAGTGGCCTTCGAACGGGGTAACATCCTGGAGCGGATCCTTACAGAAAGTATGAGTTGCGTCAAAGGGGCGTAGAATATAATCTCTTGAACGGGACTTGGGCAGACGTACAACTTAAGCGATTGTACAGATGATGATGATAGTAATCCTCGCATTTGACACAGCGCCTTATCACGTCTTCGAGACGTCTCAAAGCGCTTCACAGAACATACTGCGAAGCGAATCGACCGTATGTTTCTGGGATGATCTGCATAAGATCAAACTTACGCGAATTTTACTGTACTGAGCGCCAGTCAATGCCTCCAGGGAGAAAGGGAACGGACACTGTAACAGGGAACTGAATGCCATACCTCCTTACTCACCATTATATTCGCAGCCACCACACTTGGATCATCGCATACTGACTCCACAAAAAATACCTGCCAACACAAAGATATTGACCCATTAAGGTACAGCTGGTTCTCCAATAAATAATAATAATCATGTAATATATACAATAATCCTCGCATTTAATATAAGCGCCTTATCACGTCATTGAGACGTCTCACAGCGCTTGTGAGGCGAGTGATCTAACCTCTACCCGACAGGACTACACGTTGGGGCGGGCGAGGAGAGGGGAGGTGGGGGAGGAAAAAGGTGTGGGTGTTGATACCAGTCTCTTACCTTCCAGCCGTGCTCTTTGGAAAAGTTTAGGACCATCTCTCGTCGCTCCCGAGTTGTGTTTGTGGCGTCGAAAACCTGGACAAAAAGAAAAATACAACGCACACGCGTGTACAAGAAAGGGTCACGAGTGTTCCGGTCGTACGATATAATTCACAGGCATCAATTTCCCCAAGACCAACCAAAGCCATTCAGTCAAGCGCTCTTACTCTACAATCCACACACACACACACACACACAAAAGTCCGATACACCAGTAACTTCTGATTACACATCTCTTGCTCTGCTATCTCCTATCACTTGTTAATCCGGCCCTTTAAACCTCGGCAGCTCTAGTTTTCACACCGATAAGTCAGGAGATTGCAAACCGCTGCTCTCTCGCACCCTCCAATCTTGTATCTCAATCAGGAAGTTATTAAAGGGTTGAGGAGAAAAAGGCAGGGAAACGGGATTTAATAAACGGCATTTCTGCACAGTTCCCGGGCATAGCATCCCACGGCTTTAATACAGCGTCTTATCACTTAGTCGAGAGTGACCTCAAATAATCCTTGCAATAATCCTTGCATTTGATATAGCGCTTTTCACGTCGGGAGGACATCCCAAAGCGCTTCACAGAACACACTGTAAAGTGAATTGACTGTATATTTGTGGGCGAAGCATTTCATTTTTGCAGGATTTTACTGTAAAGTGTAGCGACCGTATCGGCAGCTGAACGCAGCAGGCAATTTGCACACAGCGATGTCCTGAACGTTCTCAGGCTAAGACGCTTCTGCTGGTGTTTTCCGGAGTGAACGGACTATATTTTGTGGGCGAAACACAGAGACCAATTGCCCCACAGCAGTGTCCCACAAACAGTCGGGGATCGAGTGAGCGAAATTATTATTACTATTATTTTTGGAAGGAAACTTGCCCTGAGGTCTCGCAACATAAGCTCTCTTAGTCAGTCGGCCAATTAAGGTAATTATTAGCAAGAGACACTTACCGCAATCTGGCCACCTTCCTCGGTTAGATAGGATTTTGCATCTCTCAAGGCTGCTACAGCACACTGCCTGCAGAAAGCAACGAGGACAAGTCAGACAGACAGACAGACGCACGCACGCGTAAAAGCATATGGCTCCATGACCCTATCGCTCCCACCCTCGCCCGGCTCCACTGGCTCCCCATCCCTCCCAGAGGATGGAGTTCAAAATCCTTGTCCTCGCTTCCAAAGCCCTCCCCGGCCTCGCTCCCCCCAAGCTCTGCGTCTCCACTAACTCCAAGTCGACCTGCCCCGCTCCCCTACGCTCAGCAGACTCCGTCCTGCTTCACACCCCCCCACCCCCCGCCCAACCATCGGCGGCCGGGCATTCAGCCTCTCTGTCCACCCCCCAAACGCCCACTGTTTGGAACTCCACCCCATAGGCCCTCCGCCTCTCCCCCTCCCTCACCTCCTTCAAGGTCCATCTCGAGACCCCCCCCCCCACCCCACTTTCCTCTTCCAACCAACCGGGTCACCCTAAACACACGATCGTTTAAGGTCGGGTTCTGGCGCCGCGCGATTGAGGCGCTCTGTCTGATTACGCGTGCAATCCAGGTCCATCCAATCCCCTTCCACTTCCTTCTCCCTCAGTGGCTTTTGAGGGGAAAAAATATCCAGCGGTGAAAAAAGGCGGAAGACTCACTTGCGAATCTTCATGGCGTCCTCGTTGTCGTGGCGAAAGAAATCATACGACCGGTACCACCTGACTGCCTCGCGCCGGTACTCACCCACGTTGAAGACTGCAACAAAACGAGGAGACTGCTTAACATCACGCTCAGTAATAATAATAATAATAATAATAATAAAACAGCTCTGCACACAGAGCCGATGGCAGAGAGGCGAAGGCATCAATTTGAGGCCCAGCCTCGGTATCGCGGAGGGCTAAAGCCAAGAAGAGATTTAAAAAATGTCCGTTAAGAGGTTATGAAACGACGCCTCGTTATGGAATCCTCGCAAATTAATACGAGGCCTTTCCCATCCCGAAGAGTTTGGCCGAACTGCACCGGAAATACGAGGATCGTGCAGCGAGTTGACCAAGGCCACAGCTACTTCGCGCGCGGCAGTGCCAACCCCCCGCTTTAAAAAAAAAAAGTCACGGAGCGACCAACTTTATTTGGGGGGAAATTGGAGGCCAAGAGAGAAATTGGGAGAAACAGTCTTCTCTTTTCCAACAGCGAGATCTTTAACATCCACCTGAACAGGGCGGACAGGGACCTCAGTTTAACATCTCAGCCAAAGGAGAGCACCTTTGAGATATATATATATACACACACACATACAACAATTACATATATATATATACGTCCTCCAGATGTGAAAGGAGCCATATTTATACAATTTTTTGTTGTTATCCTCTGCACATGAAAGGCACAGTATGAATGTAACACAAACACCCCACCCACCACACCGCACAAACACCCCACCCACCACACCTCACCCACCCCACCGCACACACACACACACCTCACACACACCCCACCCACTACTTGCCTTTGGTGGGAACTCCAATCCAGTTGAGATAGCGGGTCAATTTCTTGGCGATGTAAGTCTTGCCCCTGGCGGGTAACCCCACCATTACGATCACCGTGGGCGAGTTGGTGAGGTGGGGAACGCATGCTGTGTAGACAATTTGGAAAAAGTAGTGGTTAATTAACGCTCAGCTCCAAAATCCGCACCGTTATTATAATAATAATCCTCGCATTTGGTACAGAATACACTGCAAAGCGTAGTGACTGTGTGTTTTGTGGGCCAAGCGCGGCAACCAATTGCGCACAGCAGTGTCCCACAAACAGCCGTGGAATGAGTGACCAAGTTATTATTAGTATTACTTTTTAATAATGCGGTTGGGGGTGGGGGGGGGGAGAGAAAGGTAAAATAAGAGTCCCGTTACCTGTTCAAGTGGACTTTAAAGATCAATTGGAAAAAGGGAAGGGAGATTCTCACGCTGTCCTGGCCAGCAAATCACACAGATTATTATAGACGTTATTATTATTATATAATATCGGTCAAACCGCTTTACAATACATTCTGCTTTGATAATTCTATATTACTTTATCCTATATAACCATTATACATTATATCAGTCTGTCCGCTTTACAATATAACGACAAATTACATTTGTTTAGTGTCTTTCACGTCGGGAGGACGTCCCAACGCGCTGTCTATTCGGCGAAGCTGCTTCGAGACGTCTCAACAACGTGACAAGGCGCTACATCAAATGATTATTACTACAATTATGTACGTGAAGGCTGCGGCATTTGCCTACAGACACACACACGCGCACACGCGCTGCATTTGACACCAATTCCCTGTGAAGCAATTTGACACTGCACATTCTTGACCCCACATCAGAAGGCAGGAAATTATTATTTATTTATCTATCATTAAAATATGAATTTACACGGCTCGTTCTTCTCCTCAGGAAGCTGCTTGCCCTCGCTCCTGCTGGTTAGCACAGGCCCGAGAGGGGACTTATTCACTGACTCATTTGCACCAGCCAGGTTTGAGATGAACACAGGTTAATACCGACCTGGGGACTAGTTTAGCTGTGGAGTTCCCCTATATATATTTTAAGGGCATCAAGACAATAAAAAAAAGACGGCGCGCTTTACGCACGCAATAATGGAGCCTCAGAGGTCAACAGTTAAAAACTAAGGAACAGAGGAAATGTGCTTAGCTGGTTAAACTCTAAGGGTTTCCCTTCCACCGCCCCCCCACCAAAAAAAGGACATTTTTGGGGTCTCCAAGACTTGGCTCTTTGCGAATTTCTGCTGACCAGACATACACACACACCCCCACACACACACAGTAAATCATTACCAAGATCAAGAGGATCCAAACCCAACAGCGTTCCACATATATGTGTCACCGACACTGGGATATTTCCCCGTGACTGGGATGGAATGCGCACTCTCTCTCCCTGGAGGTTTGGACCTGAATACCCAGCAGTGGGTATTAGGCGCAGGTTGGCAAGAGCCGAGGGTTGGGGGACCCCAAAGTGCAGACTGGGGTAACTGCTCGTCAGCTAAAATCTCATCGCTTGCTATTGAAAGCAGTGTCTGGCAATCTTCCTCCAAATCTCTGCTACCCCCACCCCAGCCTCCCAGCAATGCCGGAGAACGCTGTGTTGTCTGAGGCGACGTCCGTGAACGAGACGTCAAACCAAAAGTCCCATCTCTACCTGTTCAGATGGACGTTACAAGATCCTGGGGCGCTATTGGTAAAGAGAAGGGAAATTCATCCGAGTGTCCTGGCCGATAATCCCCCAGATATAAAACTGGTCGTTCACTTCACGGGTGTTTGCGGGACGTTGCTATGCAGAAGTCGGCTGCCGAGTCATTCAGTTGCGAAACACGCTGTGTCGAATGCCAGGATTATTATTTTTATTACTTCTCTTAATTAAACATTCCGCGAACAACCTTCCTTTGCTTCCTAACAGACGGAGCTTTCGGTTTCAATTTAAGCCACGTTCAGAGTCTGGGATTGATGCCAGTGATTCATCGGCATGCCATTAGCGCAATGTCATCCCGAGCATCTTGTGCCTTTTGAAGCCAACAGTCAACATGGAATCCTGTAGTGAAGCGGTTAGAGCACTCGCCTCGCAAGCGAGAGCGTCCAGGTTTGATTCTCGGGCAGTTTGAGACGTCTCAGCGACGAGATAAGGCAAATTTCCCGGCTCCGCAATCCTTCTGTTTGATTAGCAGCAGGTCTGAACCCGGTTGTCGGTCGATTGTCGGATCGCTTTCCGGGGGCAACAATCCATTCAAGAAAATAAATAACAATTCGGTCACTCCATCCGCGACTGCTTGTGGGACGCTGCTGTCCGCAATTGGCTGCCAATTACAGTCAATTCTCTTTACAGTGTATTCCGTGGAGCACTTTGTAACGTCTCGATGACAAAGTAAGGCGCTGTACCAAATGCAAGGATTATAATTATTATTATTATAATATTATTATTATTATTATAATAATAACTCTGAAATCCGCTGGTCGAGGGGAACCGTGACCACCCTGATGCAGGAATTTACAGCGGGTTAAACGTGTGCCGTGTATCTCCCGCTCATTAACGCAGCAGCCATCCGGAGAGAGAATGATCCAACAACAACTTGCATTTGTACAGCGCCCTTCACGTGGGGTAGCGTCTCGGAACGGGCCAAGCAGGGAAAGGTTTACGCACCCAAGGACCTTGAGCCATCACCAAAGGCTCTCCGTTTGCATCCGCTTCAGTTATAAGGTTCGCCCACAACACACGCAGTCACTGCACTCGTTCGAAAACGGCCTGCGAAGCACTTTGTGCCGATGTTGCCAAAGGCTCTGTGTCAACTGTAAAGATTATGATTTATAATAATCGCTGCATTTGATACAGCGCCTCGTCGCCGTCGTCGTCGAGACGTCTCAAAGTGTGTGGGGTGGGGGGGAGTGAAACAGAGACGACGGGGGCGGGGGGGGGGGGGGGGGGACAGTACGTCAGCCGCTAACGGTGAGATTCGTAAACCAAAAAGCCGAAACACAAAGCTGTTTGGGTGTAAAAACTGAGAAATGGATACCGTCCTTTCTCTCTCCCCTCCCCCATTTCTTTTTTTCTCTCTCCTCTCTCTCTCTCTCTCTCTGTCTGTATGTATGTAAATACACAACCAGGACTTGACATCTAACCCGAGTTGACCCCGGAGGTTGAATTCCTGGTTTGAGCTAATAAAAGAGCTTCACAGAATAGATCGTAAAGTATATATATATATGTATATATATATATAGCTCTGGGACACTACCCTGTGTGAGGGAAGCTATACGAATGCACGTTGTTGTCATTGTGGTTATATTTTTGCGGGAGCAACAAGTTGATCCTTGCAATTGATGCAGCGTCTCATCGCTCAGTCGAAATGTCTCAAAGCGCTTTCACAGGACATCGGCGCGAAGTCTAGCGACCGTGTGCTCCGCAGGCCAACCCGGCAGCCGATTCACGGCCGGCAAAGCGAACGACCGATTGCTAATCGGGATGGTCGTCGGCCAGGACACCAGGAGAGGGGGGGGAAACTCCCTCGTCTTGTCAAACAGCGGGGCTGAGTGGTTAAAACGTCTCGTCTGAAGGACGGCACCTCAGTCAATGCTGCGCTTCCCCCCACCCTGTTGTGTTAGAGCGTCGGCCTCGACTACTTCACGGGAAACCCCACCGATATCGCCCGAGTCGTATCTCCCGACTGCAATAACCTTTGCCGCGCTCCTCACAGGGACGTGTCAGGGGAGGGAGGGGGCGGCGAGGCGGCACCGAAGGGCCACGAACTAACTGAGAGGTGACGGAGGAGACTGTCGAAGGTCAGGGACGACCGAGGGGGCTGTTGCTCTGGTCACACAATCAACTAGACCACCCCCACCCCCAACAAAAAACTCAATCCGCGACTGTGGGTCACTGCTACGTGCTGCCCCGTTTCGCCCCAGCAAAATACAGTCACTACACTTTGCAGTAACATTCTGCGAAGCGCTTTGATGTGTCTCGAGGCACTAAATTAAATGCAAGGATTATTATCATTATTAGGGAAGGGTTCTCTTGGTGTGCCCTTTGAAAGCCTGTCGCTCTGATCTCTTGAAAGCACTTCACCGGGAATTGTTTTCACGTGCAGTGACTGTGTGTGGGTGTTTATATGCAAAGCGGCAGCTAATTTGCACACAGCGTGATCCCGTAGGAAATGAATGGGCCGAAAATTGCTAGTTCACTTCGGCAGTCGCTGGGGGGACAAAATGCACAGCCCTTTAGACTTGGCAGCAAATACCTGTGAAGTGCTCTGAGATGGTGCGACATTACGGGCAGTTATCAAACACAAGGATTCGTTATCACTGTTATTATTGTTGCTGTTGTCATACGGGCAAGAAAAACAGACAAGGAAGCTGCGATGTTTCTTCTGTCATCGTTATAACGTTAGCATCAAATGCAAGGTTGCTATAATAATAATAATAATCCTCGCAGCGCCTTATCACGTCGTTGAGACGTCTCAAAGCGCTTCACGGGATAATACTGCAAAGCGAATTGACTGTATTAAGGTAATGGCAAACACTCAACACGACTGGCGTGCACTACACTAATTTATAGAGCGCCTTTCACGTCGGGAGGACGTCCCAAGGCGCTGGATAGTTGGGTCGGGACCTGAGCATTGGGGGGGGAGGGAAATGGTCAGGGTGAGGGGAGGGAGGGAAGGGAGAGAGCGAGGAGGGGGGTAGAGAGGCGAGAGGGGAGCTGAAGGCACGGTGGAAGAGGCTACCCATTAAGTTAGCCTATTCAGGCTTTCCCTGAAATGACCTATAACTAGAAGCTTGCATGCTGTAACGCTTAAAATAGTTAAGCTCCCAGCTTTCCTTCCCCCCCCCCCCCCCCCCCCCCCCGCTAACCCGGATCCACAGCATTAGCAAAGCTCAAGACTAATCTCCCGCAACACGTAGAATGCCACTCACATGATCTGGACACACGGAGGTTCAGAGCAGACAGGAACAAGCTGATCGATCCACCGACATAGTGTAATCGCAATTGCCCCCCCAACGCACGCTCTGGAAGTCTCCCCCCCCCCCCCACCACCCCCCACCAACAGCCTTGCCTCTCGCCAACCTAATAGGTAGGCGGCATGGAAATCGCAGCTTGGTTTTGGATGCTCTTAAACACGGTGATGTGTTTGCGCCCGGGTCAGACGCCCGGCTGAGCAGCTTTTTAAAACCCCCCCCAAAAAAAAACACATGGTCACAGAACCACGATTGCGCAGTAAAACAGGGAATAGAAACATTCAACTCAGAACTAACACATTGCAGGTAATCTCAATCTCTTTCTCTACCCTCACCCATTGATTATGAATGAGAATGCAGTTCAGCCCATTCATCTCCGGTGGGATCACACTGTGTGCAAATTAGCTGCTAAGTTTGCATCTTCACACACAGTCACTCCATTAGACAGCAACTCCCGTGTGAAGCGCTTTCGAGAGGTCAGCGCGACAAGCACTCAAAGGCAAAGATCCTTCACATTCAACATTTATTAATAATAATACTTGCCTCACGTCGTCGAGACAACGTCTCAAAGCCCTTGAACAGAACGCATCGTAAAGCGGATCCACTGCGGGCAAAACGCAGCAGCTAATTGCGCACAGGAGTGCCTCACAAACACTCGTGGCGCCTGATTACTGGAATAATTATTTGTATTCTACATTCGTGACGACAGCAATCTTTGCAACTTGACAAAGTGCCTCCTCAAGTTATTCGAAGCAGCTCAAAGCCCCTTTGTGGGAGTTTTCCTGTCGAGTGCGGCGACTAATGTGTTTGGAGTGGAGGAGGGTAGAAACTTGGCGCATTTCATGGGAGAATTTTTGAAAACAAAATAATACCGGTTCTAAAATCACCAGTCAACGATTGTGCTCTCTGTCTCGCTGCACTGTACAGGAATCCTTTGATCCCCTGAACAGAGGGAAATTTCTTTCTGAACTGCATTCCAGGTTTCAATCCCTCTACTGGTCGGGTTTCGCAGTCAATCATTTAATTGAAAGAGGCCCTTTTTTATTAAAAAAAAAGCAAGAACACAATAATAAAAAAAAAACTTCATTCACAAGTGTCCGCGCCCACATTGCGAGTCCGTTGAAGCTTCTGAATGGTTACCAGAGCAACGACCACTACATTAATCCGCTGTACCGTAATCTCGATAAAACACACACACATACGCACACAGAGAAGACATTTGACAAGTCAACAGCTGTAAGCCATCAAGAGACGTCTTGTAACTGAACGCCAGCCGGTTTCGCCCACAAACACACGCAGCAGTATATATTCCCGCGAAGCGTTTTGAGACAGCTCAATGACGTTGATAAGGCGCTATGTCAAATGCAAGGATTATCATTGTTGTTATTATAATAAAACCCAGCTAAACAGCTCCGGTGAACGTCACTCTAGTGCTTAATGGGGTGAGGTGGTAGGGAGCACAGGGGCTTGGGGCGGGCGGGGGGGGGGGCCGGAGCCAGGAACTGTGTCATATCGAATGCTCAGGTTATTACTATTATTAATATAACACAATTTACATCCCCACAGGGCTGTAGTATTTCTTCTTCAAATAAGGAATGCAGTGGGAAAGAGTCCTTCGTCAGAAATGAGTCATCTCTCTTTCCCAAAGCACTGGATGAGATTTCTTTAGCCCCGGGGAGAGGGGGGGGGGTTGGGGGAAGGGGGGAGGGATGGTTAAAGGTCAAGTGGTCAGTGTGTGGAAAATAAAATGGGAGTCACATTCTTCCTTGTTACGATACCTACAGCAGACGAAACAATTAACTTCCACACACACACTATCTCTCTTCTCCAGGACGCAATTAATTAACACCTTCTCCTCTCTCTCTCCCACCCCCCCCTCCACCACCCCACCCCAACCCCTAGAAAGAAAAAAACGCAACCCGTCAAACGCACAGTCACTACAGTCACCTTACAGAAAAACGCTGAAGAGTTTCGAGACGTCTAGCAGAAAACATGCCAGTTACATTGAAGGCTGTTAATCCGTGCCTTTGATATCACTGGCACTTTTGGGAGGGTGGGGGGGGGGGGGGGTGAGTTGGGGGTCCGAACACAACGACACCAACTTACATTCACACAGCGCCTTTCACGTCGGGAGGACGTCCCAAGGCCCAGGAGAATCAAGAGATTGGGATCTGAGCGGGGGGGGGGGGGGGAAGGGGTGGGGGCTGGGACCAGGATGGGGTGGGGGGGTAGGAGGGTGACCAAAGGCGCGGAATCCCATCACCGCGCGTGTGTGTAAGAGCATCCAGACCAAGACGAGGATTCCATGCATCCCACCTCCGCGCGGAACGGGCACAGAGTCCGAACAGGATAAAAACAAGACAATCTGCCGTGGTGCCACGAGCTATGCCGGTTACCACACACCGAAGGAATGTGGGTAGCAGTGATGCCCGGGCAGGGCTGACTGACTGGCTGACTGACTGACTTAACTGACTGACTCTGTCTTGACGAGGTAGCAAGTGGTTCAAGCCGGCTCAAAGCCCCTTTTTTTTTAAAAAAAAAGCAATCGGCTTTGAGCCGGCTGTGCGCCTGTGCGCATCACCTCTCGCTCTTAGAAGAAAACGGAGACAACTTAACTCAATGAACGGAACAGACGCGGACAGACGGAGAAAAGTTACCGAGGTCTGGAAGGAATTTTCTCCCGCAAAATACACAGTCAAATCCACCTGCGCAACGACGACTTGCATTCATATAGCGCCCTTCAGGCGGGTTAGCTCCCCGGAGCGCTGTACAGTATATTCTGCGAAGCGCTTAGAGACGTCTCGGTGGCGTGATAAGGCGCTATATCAAACGCAAGGATGATTACGAGTCTTATTATAATAATAGACAAAAGTCACCGACAAAGTGAAATCGACACCTGACCGACATGATTTTCTTTTACGCGCACACACACACATCCCACTTCAAACCATTGCAAATACCTTAACCTTTTATTCCCCCCTTCTCTCCTCCCTCCCTCCCTCCCTCCCCCTAATAAAAGGAAATAACTTTTGGCTTTCTAGTGATCGCAGGAGACTCAAATACCCGAAAGCAAGCTAATGTAGTCCAACTGGCGCCCTCCATCCATCCATCCATCCATCTATGTATGTATGTGACCCTCACCTCAAGGCAGATTTAGAGAGGGGGAGATTTAGAGGGAGGGAGAGAGGCAAAGATTGAGGGGGAAAGCAAATTAAAAGTTAAAAATACCATAATTTAGTTGCGGATTAGCATTTTAATGTCATTTAAGATAACAGCATCAGGGCTGGCAAAGCTAACTGTGGCTTTACTGTGATATTATAACATCTATATATGTATGTGTGTGTATAATATACACATATATATATATTATATAGAATATACAGAACAAAACCCGGCTTTGGGGGGAGAGGTTATTGCAATCACGTGCAGTTCAAACGAAAAGAGAAAGAGAGAAGGAGAGAGGAGAGAGAGAGAGGGAAAGAAAGGGAGAAGAGATTTTTTTTAAAGAAGGGAGAGAGAGAGAGAGAGAGAGAAAATAAAAAGATATCAAATGCAACTCCAACCATCCCTTCTCGAAAAAGATGCAGCAAAGGGCGGAGGGGGGTGGGGGGGGTCCACGGTGTGTGCATTACATAAAGAGAGAGACCGGTATAACACACACACCCACATCGTTGCAACAGCCACACGATGTTACACTCACTCCTGAAATACCCTTTGAGACGAAATAAAACCACATTTAAACGTGTTATGAAGGAGGGAGAGAGGGGATCGTTGGACAAAAGGTACCCTCAACCCTTTCCTCTCCCCACACACACCCCCTACACACCCCCTACACACACACCCCCCACACACACACCCCACACACACACACTCCCTAAACACACCCTACACACACCCCCTACACACACACACCCTATACACACCCCCCACACACACCCCCCCCCCCCACACACACCCCCCACACACACACACCCCCCACACACACACACACCCCCCACACACACAAAAAACATTCGGTCGAGCGTATGTGTGTTGGATGTCCGCGTTACACAAAAAAAAATGCGACTCGACTCACATCTGCTCAGCAGTGACGGCCTCTCGTCCTTGTGAGGGATCCAGATTTTCTGCATCGGGTTCTGTGTCAGTTCTCGGGGCATTGTTGCAGTGGCGATGGGTTAGGATTATTATTATTATTATTATTATTATTATAATATCCGGCTTTTTCGGTCAGGCGATGTCTCTCCAAAGGTGTGTGTGTGGGGGGTGTGGTGGGGGGGTGTGGGGGGGGGAAGGCGTTTAAAAAAAGACTTCTTTCTTTCTTTCTTTCCCCCTCTCAGTTCCCTTTCTCTCACCCCCAAACGATGTGTAGACGTACGGACTTCACGCCTCGATCGATGCGGGTGTGTTGCTGACTTTGGAGTGGGGGGGGGGTGGGGGGGGGAGAGGAGGGAAGAAGAGGGGTGTGGGGGGTCCGGGAGGTGGGGGGGGGGTGGTTGGCGTAGGTAGGAAAGGAATCCTTTGTACGGATGGATTGAGGATTATTCGGTCTTCCTTCCCTCCCAACGAGGGGAGAGGTCGGTGGGAGACAGAGAGAGAGAGAGAGGGAGAGGGAGAGAGGGCAAGAAAGAGAAACCAGAGAGAAAAAATGCGTATATATATATATACCTATAGATATATAAATATATATACACATATAAAGAGTTCCCCCTTTTTAAGTCTCGACGGTTAAAGATTTTTTTCAAAAAGAAAGAGAAGGGGTTTGATGTTTTTTTTCCCTTTTCCCTCCACCCCCCCCCAAAAAAAAAAAGAAAGTAAAATAAATGAAAAGGTTCCTGTTTTAAGAGCGACGTAGAAGCTTCGGGGTGGAGGGGGGGGGGGGGGGGGTCTGCAATGCCGTAAACGTGTCTGTGTAGAGAGAGAGAGAAGTCGATAGGCAAGTGGTGAGGCGAGGAAATGGATGGTGCAATATATATGGAGAGAGAGAGAGAGAGATAGAGTGTGAGAGAGGGAGAGAGAGAGAGGGAGGGAGGGAGGAGGAGTGTGTAATGTGGGGGGAATCCTCGTGAATCTGACTCATCGGCGGCGCCTTTTATTCATTCACGGAGGCGCCGGGTCCCGCGTCACTGCCGCGCCTCAGCCAATCGGGGCCCCGCATGCAAATGATTAGAACGGGAACTCCCCCTCCCGCCGCGCTGATTGGCTCTGGTCTGGCTCCCTCGCCCCGCCCCCCTCCCCCCCACCCCCGTCTCCTATTGGCCGCTCCGCCGCCGCTGTCGTCACCACCCCGGGGGGGGGGGGCGGGCGGGCGGATAGCGGCTGAAGGCGGGAGTTTGGAGGTGGTTTGAATGGCGGGGGGGTGGGGGGGGGGGGGCAAAGAGGGGGCGTGGATAGGGTAAAAAGGGGCGGAGATAGGGTAAAAGGGGCGGGGATAGGGTAAAAGGGGGCGGGGATAGGGTAAAGGGGCGGGGATAGGGTAAAAAGGGGCGGGGATAGGGTAAAAGGGGCGGGGATAGGGTAAAAGGGGCGGGGATAGGGATAGGGTAAAGGGGCGGGGATAGGGTAAAGGGGCGGGGATAGGGTAAAAGGGGCGGGGATAGGGTAAAGGGGCGGGGATAGGGTAAAAGGGGCGGGGATAGGGTAAAAGAGGCGGGGATAGGGTAAAGGGGCGGGGATAGGGTGAAAGGGGCGGGGATATGGTAAAGAGGGCGGGGATTAGGGTAAAGGGGGCGGGGATTAGGGTAAAGGGGGCGGGGATAGGGTAAAGGGGGCGGGGATTAGGGTAAAGGGGGCGGAGATTAGGGTAAAGGGGGCGGGGTACGTGGGAAAATGGGAGGGGATAGGGTAAAAGAGGAGGGAAAGGGGCGGAGAATGGGTAAAGCAGCAAAGGGGAGGGGCGAGTGGGGAGGAGAAAGGGTAACAAGGGGAGAGGGGGAGTGAAAGGGGGGAGTGGGTACAGTGGGGGAATTGGAAAGAGGGGGAAAGGGGAAAACAAGTGGGAGGGTGAGAGGGGGGAGAAGTGGGAGGAGGGAGGGGAGGGGGGGGGGGAGAAGTGGGAGGGGGAGAAGTGTGAGGGGGGAGGGGGAGAAGTGGGGGAGGGGGGAAATCCTGGGGGGTGTGGTGTGGGGGGAAGAGATGACGGTGAAGGAAATCCTCCGAACTACCATTTCATTGTATGAAAAATTGCCTTTAAATGGACAAAGTTTCCAGACTGAGACCAACGTCAAAGGGAAAAAAAAATGCTCATTTATTTCCCTGATGATAAAATAATTCACCCCCCAACCCCTCCCCCCCCCTCCCCCCCCACCCCACACCCCACACCCCACCCACCCCCAAAAATTTTGCACACAAAGTTAGGGGGTTCAGCTGGTAGATAGCAATGATAATTACCCCTCAAACCCCCCCACACCCCCCACACCCCCATCACACAGCTTCAAAATAGCTTCTGCAGAATTTAATAAACATAAAGTAGATCCACATTTAATCTGATTTCTCTCTCTCTCTCTCTCTCCTTTTCTTTCTTCCTCTTTATCCGTTTCTTTCTCTCTCTCTCTTTCACTCTCTCTCTTTCCCTCTCTCTCTCCCTCACTCCTTCCCTTAAGAAAACATTTTTTTTAATATCTTACAAAAAAAGGGTCAAAAACCCTACGAACCTTTTCGACGACTCGCAGTGTTTTAAAAAAAACAGAACAGAAACGCCGTCCAAACGTATGTTTCATTTGTTTTTTTATATATTATAATAATAATTTTTTTTTAAAAAGCACAGGAACTAATCTGGAGTGTTCCCAATAAAATAACACACAGATAAAATACATAACAATCTGCTCGCCTTCAACACATCGTTTCAATCTCTATTACACCAGGAAGAGATATATATACACACAGACACACACATATATATATTATATATTATATATACTATATATACTATATATACTATATATACTATATATACTATATATACTATATATACTATATATATTATATATTATATATATTATATATATTATATATATATTATATACATTGTATATATTATGTATATATTATATATATTATATATATTATATATATAATTGATATATTTTCAAATGGATTTTCTTAAAAACCCAATAATTCGGAGCGAAAACAAGACTTCGTTTCTCTCTCCTTCGCACAGTGCAGAAGATGCTGCAAAAAAAATTATTTTAAATAATAATTGAGCTAAAAGCTGATTTTTTTGTGTGGGGTGTCTCTCTCTCTCTGTATCCCCCCCCCCCCCCCCCCACACCATCACCCCATCCCCCCCCAACCCCCCCACCCCACCCCACTTTAGATGATTTTCACTTAAAATGAAATGGTCTGGACTGTAAGGATGCGCACCCCCTAAAGGTGGATGTAGATGGAATAGCGAAGGGTTGAATGTACCACACGTTCCTCACGTACAAGTCTCCACACAAAGCCTTTCTCTCCCTCCCTCCCTCCCTCTCTCCATCCCTCCCTCCCTCCCCTCTCTCCATCCCTCCCTCCCCTCCTCTCTCCCTCCCTCCCTCTCTCTCTGCCCCAATGACTGATGTGGCATCTTATTAAAATTGCTTAAACCTTTCTTGGGATCCTACAGCCAGAAATGACTGCTTCACTTCACCCCTAAACCTCGGTGGGTACTCCAGTTGTGTGTGTGAGATCCAGTCACACTTTCCACACTCGTGTACATTTTCCAATCCATTTCCACACCACACAACACACACCACACAACACACCACACCACACACACCACAAAACATTGTCCTTTTCTTCTCTCCTGCGTGAAAGTTTCAAGGTATTTCAACCACATTCATCCTTTAGGAAATAAAGTGCCAATGGCAAGAACTCTGCTTCAATTTATTTATAATTTTTTTTTACCAAAAAAATCACTGGTTAATTATTTTTCTCTTTCTTTCTATCTCTCTGTCTCTCTCCTCTCTCTCTCTCTCTCTCTCTCCTCCTTCCTTCTTTCCTTCCCCCCCTCCCCTCCCCTCCCCCACCCTCTCTCTCTTTCTACTTTTCTTTCTCCTTCCCCTCATCAGTCCCCTATGTCTTTGGGGTTTAACTTTAATTTGCAACGATGTTTGCCTGGAGTCACCCACCTCTGGTGCCCAAGAAATCAGGGCAACCTTCAACAAATTGGTGATGTGGGTTTCAGTTGTTAAAGGGGGAATATTTAGGGGAGAGAGAGAGAGAGAGAGAGAGAGGTAGAGACAAAGAAGAGATGTGAGGAGAGGACAAAATGAGAGAGAGGTGTGGTGTGTTCTTTGCAGATGTAGTGGGAACACTTTTATGTTCCTCACAAACTTGCAATGTAGATATGGTCCAGACACGATTCAATACTGTATCCAGAACTTGTCGATGGCTCTCTCTCTCTCTATATATATATATATATATTCATTCTCTCTGTTTTTTTTGCAGTCAGGGAGTTAAGGGGAGGGGAGGAAAGTTGTGTGTTTGTGTGGTCTCTGGATAGCTTCAACAGGCACCTGAGGAATCATATCAAAACCCATCTATTAATAGAGGAAAGGGCCGCGCTGATAAGAAACCAAGAGTGCTTTTTTTTTCGGTCTTTAAACCAGCAACGACCAGTTTCAAATCGACTTCTTTCCTCTTAACACAAGCACTTGCACACAATTAGAGCCCCGCAGCTCCGGGTGGTTAGAGCGCTCGCTTCGCAAGCGAGAGACCTGGATTCAATTCCAGGCGGGGGGGGGGGGGGCGAAACCTTGGGCAAGTTTCCTTACTCTGCGCGCCTGACTTGGGGATCCCTCCGAAACAAAAAAAAACAATAATAAATTGGTCGTTTTCAATCCACGACGGTTTGTGGGGCACTGCTGTGCGCAATTGGCTGCGGCGTTTCGCCCGCAAAACACGCAGTCGATTCACTGTGTGATCTGTGAAGTGCCTTGAGAAGTCGTCTCGAAGACGTGAAAAGGCGCTATATCAAATTATTACATTATTCGGATTATATGAACATAATCCCTCTTTGTTATTTGAGGCAGCCCCTTCCACATCGGGAGGACATCTCAAAGCGCTTCACAGGATTTACCGTAAAATCTCTTTTGTAGGCGAATCCCAATTTTCACACAGCAAATGTCCCAACCACGACAACATCTTGGCTTCATACGGCACCTTTCACACAGAGTAGCGTCATGGCTTAGACAGCCATGAAGTCCATCCGCCCTTGGAGGAGGTAAGCTGGGTCTGCTTGGAGCTGAACTGGCTCACTGCTGATGACAGCACAGCCCAGACTGG